ATTTTTAGCGCATTTCCACAAAAAAAAAAAAAATGCGCTATTGTGGCCACTTTGTCCGTCCGTCCGTCCGTCCGTCCGTCCGTCCGTCCGCTAACTTTGCGACGCTACTGGTTTTTTATCTTAAGAGCTTATTGTTCTACTTTTTTCGCTATTTGGTTCGTTATGGTGTCGAGTCTTGTACCAAGGAAGGAATTTTTTCTGTACCGCTTACAAAAAAAGTTATTGTAAAAAAACAAAAAACCGTTTTTTTACATGTTCCATAATTTTACACTTTTGCCGTTTATTAACGATCCTAGAGATCGTTTATAATTTTGCATTGCTATCTGTCGTCTGCCTGTTGGTTTGTCCGTCTGTTCCTTTGTCTGTCTGTCCATCTATCTGTCCGTGTGAACGATAACTTTGTTTAGAAATGTTTGATCGCTTTTACATCTCCGTTAGTTATGAACTGAATTGCATGAAATTCAATATGGGCATAGCTTTAACCATATAATACGCAATGCCAAAAGTTGAATCGATCGATTCAAAATTCACAGTGCCCTTTTCGCATCTCGACCATTTATAAACCGAATTGCAAACTTTTTTACTTATAAAAGTATTTGAATGAAATTTGATACATAGGTACTTGGAATAAAGGAAAATCAACCGCCAATTTCAAAATTTGGTTTTGCGCATGCGCAGTGGCAACTTTTTTATTTATGGAAGAATTTAAACGAAATTTGATACATAGGCACTTGGGATAAAGGAAAATCAAACGCCAATTTTAAAATTTGGTTTTGCGCATGCGCAGTGCCAACTTTTTTATTTATGGAAGAATTTAAACGAAATTTGATACATAGGCACTTGAAATAAAGGAAAATCAAACGCCAATTTCAAAATTTGGTTTTGCGCATGCGCAGTGCCAACTGTTTTATTTATGGAAGAATTTAAATGAAATTTGAAACATAGGCACGTGGAATAAAGGAAAATCAAACGCCAGTTTCAAAATTTGGTTTTGCGCATGCGCAGTGCCAACATTTTTATTTATGGAAGAATTTAAATGAAATGTGATACATAGGCACTTGGAATAAAGGAAAATCTAGCGCCAGTTTCAAAATTTTATTTTGCGCATGCGCAGTGCTAACTTTTTTATCTATGGAAGCATTTAAGTGAAATTTGATAGTTAGGCGCTTGGAACAAAGGAAAATCTAACATTAGTTTCAAAATTTAGGTTTGCGCATGCGCAGTTCCAACTTTCTTATTTAGAAAAGCATTCAAATGAAATTCTTCTCATAAACTGAAATTGAAGTAACACGTCAAAAATGGATTGCCCATGTGCAACGCTATCTTTCATATTTGTGGCCGGATTTTTACGATTTTATAGAAGTTGCATCTTACAAATGGGAAATGAATGCAAGTGGAAATGCGCTTTATGTAAATCGTTTACGATTACTTTTTAACTTGTTTACGCTTAACAGAATGAAAATATCAAGAAATTAATGGGTACATTTAAATGCGAAATTTACCAAAATGACATGAAGCCCTAAATCGTGCTGTTACCTTATATTAATTTCCCAAAATACGGAAAGAGAACGTCGAAAATTCCGGCCGGCCGGCGGACTCGGTTGATAACACCCAACAATTAAAACTTTTTGATTTAATTACCAAGCTCTCTGACGTCCTAAAATTCGGGGACTAATCTTGAAATTCATGTTAATGAAGCGTGCTTCTAATAATACTAGGGCCAATCTAATCAGACGAAGGTTTCTGCAACACATTTGATTAACTACGGTTAATTATACTCACCCAAATGGCCGGATTAAAATTTTCAAATTCGGTAGCCTAGTAATGTCCAATGTTACCTGGAACTCGGGGCAATCGCAAAAGGGCTGCGATAATGAAATAAACTGCACGGCCTTAACGACAGTCGCTGTACCGGGATCGCCAGCTTTACATGCCTTCCGAAGTCAGGAGATATTCTCTGCCACTA